AAATCAGACACACAAGCTCAGATATTACATGGTTTCTTTTATGTAAGAAACCCAAGTTATAAACAGATAGCAAAGTAAAAGATAGATAATAGGATGTAGGGACATAGATCTTTCTCAAATGAAAAGGGGATGAAGAGATAGTGGGTAGAGGGGAGGAAAGGGATGAAAAAAGACATTAATATGTGTTATGTACATATACCAACCCCACACAAATAATGTAAACATTATGTATTGCAAACACGTACTAAGAAAAATAAAAGTCGGAATATTCATTCCTATTGTTAAACATATTTATTTATTTATTTATTTATTTATTTATTTATTTATTTTACCAGGGATCAAACTTGGGTCCTTGCACTTGCAAAGTAGCCACTGGCACCACTGAGCTAAATCTTTGGCCCTAAATATATTTTAATTCTTGGCTCTATACATTGACATCCCAAAATCATAATGTATTACCACCTCAGCTAAATCAATGACATGTGATGTAAGCGTCTTCCTTGGGATTGACACCCTGGTATCTTTCTCAAGAGCTTCTCTGAGTGTTAGACCACCAATGACATTATTATGGTGCCTATTGGAATTTATAAGTCAGAGAAGGAGAGTAAGAAAAGAATGACTTATGATTAAATCATAAGTATGATTGAGAAGTCAAACAATTTTCATAGTAAGCCACATATAACTCCTGTTTCACAGTATTATTTTTCCTTTCTTTTATCTTTCTTTTTTTTCTATCTTTTCTGCTCCTCTTTCTCCTCCTCCTTCTTCTCTTCCTCTTCCTTCCCCTCTACCTCTACCTCCTCCTTCTCCTTTTTTTTTCCTGGCTTGGATGTTTGATGACAAAAGATTTCTTCTTTAAATTTCAATTTTAAATATCTATGAAGACAGTAAAATTTAATTTTCAGTTAAAATACAGCCATTTATTCAATTCACTAGGGATATTAGAAAAATATGAGAATGAGAAATATGTACACACACATATATGTGTGTGTGTATATATGTATATACCATTTTATTGCTGATTTAGCTTCCATATAAAAACCTCAACCTGAATGTTTCTAGTGCCATACAGTTTTAGCCTTCTTTGTATAAAATTAGATATTAAAAATAATGATTTATAGTAATCAAAAATAATGCTAAAATTTCAGTATTTCCTAGTCACTGAATGATGTTCCAGCCCATCATCTTATTTTTTTCTTCACAGTTACACTAAATAATCGTAGTTTGACTATTTCACAGCTGACAAAAGTAAGCATATTGCAGATCATTTTGGGGTTGCCTATATAAGATTTTATAATAAGAAAGAATTGAAATAGAAAAATATGAAATAATTCTCTTGTATTTTGATATGGGATGCAACTGACTAATTCTTGGTTTTATTAGCACTATTTGGGGAAAAATGAGGCATTTTCATTTAAGTTTTAGAAATAGCTCAGTGTAGAGGAAACGTCATTTCGATCATCCTCGAGACTTTATGTTGGAGTAAATCTTGGCTGAGGCCAGTTTAGAAGATAATTTTAACTTAATGTATGAAGAAAAGCCAGTCAAAAGAGATATTTACTTGGCTTTTAAAGAATTAATACATATGGACTATATTAAACCCTGTTTAGCATAATTACATTTTATAGTGAAGTCAAATGAATATAACTAGCAGTTAGTAAGTACCTTGTTATTCCAGAATATCTGAAGAATATGAGGAACAGAAATATTTTGTAACTTGTCTAAAGTCTCAATTGAAAAATAAGTTTGCATTAAAATAGAGGCACATCAATTCTCCTAAAATTTTTTTTTTTTTTGGTACTGGGGATCGAACTCGGGTCCTTGTGCTTGCGCAGCAGGCAGCGAAACCACTGAGCTAAATCCCTGGCCCCAGCCCTTTTCAAATTAAGAAATATTATCACATTTTTTCTAAGGAAGCTAGTTTCAAAGGTACACGGATTGCTGAAAGGCCTATATCATTCATTAGAGGTCTAGAATTCAAATTCAGGTTCTTATTTATTGTGTAATATCGGGTATCTGCTATATGGCATTTCGCTGAGTGTCAGTTAATCTCTCATTATATTGAAATTGATCAGATCCTCCACCTTTACACACACTTCTTTCAGGTTTCTTAAGTCACCAGTTCAATAAAAGCTTGCTGTTTTTAAAGATACCCTGTATAAGATAGTTCATCAATCCTCCTCCTTTTAAAAAAGTTTTGACCTTTTTTGTATTTGTCTTTAATGCTGAAGAAGTTAATATATCACCCCAAAACTGAGTTAAAAACTCTTATCTCTTCCTTAGTTTCCATTTAATTTAAATTGTTACAGTATGCATTTAACTTTTTATTTTCATAGTACCATCCAACCTCTTATCTTACAGAATGTGAAATGCTGCCAAAAAGTGTTTTGAACATTCTCCCACTGATGATGTTCATGAAAAGAAGAGGTCAGTTTAGGTGGCTTTGCAAGACAGCTATTAGTGTCATGTTACAGACAAAGAAAACACAAAAGTATGTGGGTGTGATTGGTGAGCTTATCTCATTCCCCAACATCCCCAAGAATAAAATGGTACTTTTGACTTCCAACAACAACAACTGCTTTTAGTTTTTGCTGACTTATTTCAGCTTGGGGTTGAGTAAAACATTGGAATTGATGGAACTATACATCACTACATGATAGTGTGTAGTTCAATAATAAACAACAGGCATTTAAAGAAAATAGATCACAGAAGCATCACCAGAGGTTTCAAATTAAAATGACAGGATTCAAGAAAGGAGATTTAAATAACTAAATTTACTCACATGGTATAGGGCCTTGTGATGAATCAAGAAAGGAAATTGCATAGATGTTTTGTCTAGAATATGTTAAAAGAATATACAAGATGGCTAAAAATGAATGATTTTCTAGACATTGCATACTGGTAAACTCATGCTGGTAATATGCAAGAAAAGGAAATAAACTGCTGTATGTTCATAGTTATATCAAGGAAGAGCTGCAAAAGGATCAACATATAGATAACAAATCCTCAGCACCCCAGGGGCCTTGGTGAGAGGGAAACTATTAAAATCTGATAAACATTGGTTGAAATAAATATAAAAGTCTCCTCTGTAGCGGGATGGAAGGTATTCATGTGTTTGAGAGCAAAGAAATTACTGATTAAAGATTCATGAGATGAAACAGAATCTGAAGTCATTAGTAGATAGGAAATGAGTAGTTTCGTTTCACAATGTGAGTTAATCATTACCTGTCCTTATCTTGAGAATGGTCCCAAGGAAACACAGGCCCTTGACAATCACAAAAATGCCCCAAATACTTTATGCAAAGCAATGTTAAGGGGAATTATAGCTGATCTAGGACGTTAGTCTTCAATAATCACACATGCATAAGAAATGCAATACACTTTATTTTTGGTTGTTTTTCATAAAAACTAGATGTTTGTTTTCTGGGTTTGTCAGTTGAGATTTGTAGCAAAGCAATCATAATAAATATAGTTGCTGGCCTGGGATTTAGCTCAGTGGTTCCGCTGCCTGCCTTGCAAACGCAAGGTCTGGAGTTCGATCCCCAGTACCAAAACAATAAAATAAAATAAAATAGTAAAATAAAGTAAAGTAAAATAAAATAAAATAAAATAAAAACATATAGCTGCAACTGGGTAAACTAACACAAATATTAGGCTAACTCTTATTACATATTTTTATCTGTTATTGCAATAATAAACACCTTTCAATTATTACTAAATTCAAACTAAGGAAATAGATGTTGAATTAGAACAAACAGCACAAAAATTAAAATCTGTTCAAAATATGAAAAATGGAAGCCTCATGATATGTATTGTCAGGACAGGAGGTTTTTTTGTGTGTAATCTACTTTGTTTTTCTCATCACCAGCTGTCTTTATTGCTATCACTGATCATTTTGCTTCATTCATTCACAAACGTGTGTGCTAAATTGTGGAGATAAGAAAGTAAGCAGGGATGATCTGTCCTTGCCTCACAAAGTAGGCAGCTCAACAATTAGCTCTTTATGACGAAGAAAGTAGAGTGACTGGGAAACACTTTGCAAAGGTGTCCGAGCCAGTCTAGAGAATTTCTGAGCCATAGGAGATCTTCAAGCTAAAATTGGAAAAGTTGAATGGGCACTGGCTATTTATAATGTACACTGAAATTCAAGTTAAACTATTTATTACTTTAAGTCCCTAGAAAATTTAATTTCTTAATAATATTGGTGACATTTTAATTGTTTATAATTTTAATAATCCTTTATTTATTTATTTATTTATTTATTGTAAGCTCCATTAATTGTGGCAATCATCTATTGGGTAGCCAAATTGTTATTGGTTGAGTAAAAAACTTCCTTTTAATCACTGTCACTTTCTTTTTACTTCATGATTTATTGTTATATAATCTATACACCCTAAAATTCACCATTTTAAGTGTAAATATCAATTGTTTTTCATATATTCATAAGGTGGTGTGATTATTACCACAATCTAATTCCAGATTATTATTATCATTCCAAAGGGAAACCACGTACCCATTGGCAGTCATTGTCTGTTCCTCCCTTGCCCCAGCTCCTGGCAAGCACTAATCAAATCTGTGCTTCTATAGATTTTTCCATTTAGACATTTCATATATATCTCTCCTATGATGTGCCTACTTTTGTGACTTGATTTTTTTCACTTAGGATAATGATGATGCAATGTGTATCAGTATTTTGTTCCTTTAAATGGCCAAATAATATTCTATTTTCTAGATGTAACACATTTGTTTATCCCTTCATCAGTAGTATAGGTTTGACTTGTTTCCACTTTTTAGCTATTATAAATAATGTTGTTTGAACATTTGTGTCTAAGTTTTTGTACTGACTTATGCCTACATTTGTCTTGAGTATATAATTGGGAGTAGAATTGCTAAGTCATATGTTAACTCTGATTATCCTTGGGAAATAGTTCAGACACCTTTCCAAAGAGGCTAAAATGGAATTTTCCACTCCTATAGCAATGTCTTACTTCTTTTTCCAGACTCCAGAAGAACTAGAGGATGTTTCTGATCTTGAAGAGGATCACGAGGTTCACAGCCACACCAGTGTTCAAACAGAAGGGAAAACTGACCGGGTATGTCATCTCCCTGGGAGGAGAGTTGTGCACTGCCCCTTGAGGACTGTGTCCTCTTCTTGTCAATCTAGGCAGAGCCTCTCAAGGGAAACTCTTGGATATGGAACTTGTTTTCTGGAGCACAGAGGGCAAAGTCTTTGAATGCAGAAGCAGTAACATGAGGGAATTATCTGCTCTACCTTGAGAGCTCACTGTGAGGCCATTTCAGGTCAGGTAGTGAATCACTCTGTATTGCTTTTGGTCTTTGTAACAGTCATATGAATATAAAAGTGAAATATGTGCATGTTTATTTAAGGTAGAAAAAAACCCCAAGAGATTGTAAATATACTCTGTAATACCAGGGAAAAACCCTTGGAGTCAATACTTCCCACTTTTCTTCCTGCCTAACCTCACACACACACACATACACACACACACACACACACACACACACACACACACACTGTACAATTTTGAAGATGTTAATCTCAATTTCTGTTTTCCTCTGAAAAGTTGTACTTCCCTTTATTTTTCCTCAATGCGTGGACATCTGTGAAAGTTTGGCACTCTAACCACTAATGGCCTGGAACTGCAGACCCAACTTAGAACTTGGATCCAAGATCTAGGTAATACAGCATAGCAGATAAGACTGCCAGAAAATGCTCTTGAATGGGGCTGCTCCTGCTTGTATTACCTGGGAAAGTAAGTCTTTCTCTGTTTAAGCTCTGTCTTTTGTAAAGTGAGAATACTAATAACACCATCTATGTGAGGGTTTTGGTGGCAGTTAGCCGAGTTCACTGACAGAATACTTAAAACAACATCCAGTTCATAGAGTAAGCTCTCAATGATTATTACTTATTATTAGTCATAACAGCAGTAGCAATAATAATCATAATCATCATTGTTATTACTCAAATAATTAAATTTAGTGACATAAAATTTGGCCTGGGAAGTAAATTTATAACTGTCCTGGATGGACCTATCTGACTGAAAACACTTTTACATTGCACAACTTGAGCAAACTGTGTTTTTATGACTTTGTTGTTACATGGTCTTTCCTGAAGCAATTCAAGCAAGGATCTATCTGATAAACCTTAGGTCAGGAATACATGTGAGTGTACATTTCTTTAAGCAAAAATACTGATATTGCCTGGAGTGTTTTCATATACTGTTGTATAATAAGATTTGTGTAAACTGATTTAAAACAAACTTTAAGCTTTACCAAATTTAGCTCATAATTCTTTGGATTTCTATTTCCTAGGAATGTAAAGTAAAGGAAATAATTTGAAAATATTTAATATCAGAGGCAGAGAAGCAGATTCTGATTTTTTTAGCTCCTCTTTTCAGTCTTAAAACTTCTTGTGCAAAAATATTTGTATTTGCCTTCACATATGTGAAATTAATGTTAAAAACTGTCACCTTAGAATGACAATAAAATATTTTACTGTCAATAACACCTAGCATTTATATAGTACAGTCATATCTCAGTGTTCATTGGCTCCAGAATTCAGCAAACTTGGTACTCATCACTTTTTGAGGAGAAAAAAGTGTTTTAGCACTGGGTATTTGCATCAGTCTCATGGTACCTCAGGAGCAGTACAGAACCTCTGTATACTTCTTGTTAATTTTTTATACTTTTGTGCATTTTAAGTGCTAATCATGGGGATATTATAGGTTAAGAGTAATACTACTAAGCCTAAAAGACTTATATTACCCAAGTAAAAGGCTAATATTAGCTCAATAAAATGTGAAAATTCTGGAGAACTTTCACAAATTCTTTTTTTTTCCATTAAGTTTATTGGTACATTTTAGGTATAAAATAGTTGCATTCATCATTGGGGTCTTGTACC